GAAATTAAAACGAAGGTGGAATATTTGCGAACGGACCACAATAAGCGTGCGTGCGTGTGCTGGAGGGCGACTGAAAAATGCATGATTCATTGCTGACTCACGCACTTGACTCCCACAGATGCACACTTTTCACAAGAGCAGGCCAGCAAAACACCCACACACACGCACACACACACACGCACGCACACACAGTCCTGCAGTGCAATGCTTAAGAGGTGGACAATAACAGATCTGGGCTTGCGGTTACCAAGAAGGTTTATAAATTGCCAGATTAAATCCCTGCTGTAGTGTGAAAAAGATTTTGGATTATTTGGATAAAACTAATCACTGTCCTCTTTGTTCGTATGATAATCGAATGAGGTCGAAGTAAACATTCAAAACTGCCTATATTCATAATTTAACGTGCCAAAGACTGCCGGTAAATTCCACTAACGACCCAGGCTAAACTTAGCTCCTCCCCTCACGTCAACAAGCTGTGGTTTCTTGACGTACGACGGTTCCAATTTACGGGAAAAAAGGGAGAGCCGCTGTCTTCGACTGAACAGGCCAAACAGTCAACATACAAAATGAAAACACTCGCAAGGAGCATGGAGCAGCCAACAGGACTGAATCCATCTCCTGACATCACTCACTAGGCCACGCCCCAAAAAAAAAAAAAAAAAGCACACATCGACACATTTGTGCGTTTGGTTTCGACTTCGGCAAACAAGGCTCCGCTTCTGACAAACTGAAGCTCCGCCCCCTCACTTCAACACAGTTCCTTGGCCACAAAATGGCGCCCGAGCAACGTGTTTATATTAGAGACCGAAGCGCTAATGTGGACGCTGTTGCCAAATCAACAATAGCTGGACCCTTTAGGCCCCCCAACGCCATTGGCATATGCTCCGGACACACACACACACACACACACACACACACACACACACACACACACATATATAGTGTATCATGTTTCCCAGTGTTGCCAGACACACCCGAGAGGCCCAACATGGATTGCGCGCCGATGCCCTTCTGCCGCGTTGTGTTTTGTTGCGTTCGGGGCGGGTGGGCCGCCGTTGCTCTCGTCAGCTGTTGAGCACAGACGCTCCGAGACCAAACAACTCGCCATCCGCCCGCATGCCAAGCGCGCGCACACACACACACACATGCGCAAAGAAGCACACGCCATATGCACATGACCACCCTCGCGGAGAAAGTGACAATCGCGGACACGATTGCTGCCTGCGCGTCACCGAATGAGACATCCTTGACCTGATTTTTATGCAACAAGCCATCAATATTCAATGCGATTGGTCATTTTTATTTGTTTATTTTTCATTTTATGTAGGTCAGCGCTTCTGAAAGTGGGATGCCCCCGGATTCCAGGAACCAACACTTGGGGGCTCGCAAAATAATTTGCAATGACTGTAGGATTGATGTATGTATTATGTTAAATAGCGCAATACTATAGTACACACATCAAAAAAAAAAGTAAAATTTAAAACAATTCAAAAAAAAAACATTTAGTGCTGCCTCCCTCAGCTTCCACTGACATCCCTGCATGAATTTTCTTAGATATTTTTGGCGGTCTAAAGTTGGAATCGGACTTTTTTGCCCTCATTAAGCTTTTGAAGGACATCGGATACGAAAGTGGACAGCTTCTCATGTTGTCAGGGTACAGGGTGCCTGAAAGCAAACTTTGACATCATATAATGACTTTAACGTGGAAAATATTACTTTACTGTGGTAACATTTCAAGTTTTTTTTTTCTGGAAAAATACAAATTTGTCATTGCCACTTTACAACTGTGGCACTTTTTTTTTTCTCTTTTTTTTTTTTTTTTTTACAATTCATGAAATTAAATCATACAATTTGGGTAAAATCATTGCATTCTCAACTCAACTACTGAAAATGTTTTGATTTTTACGGTTCCTTTCCATGTTATTTATCCATTTTGGACAAAGGAGCTATTTTGTGGACTATTCTTTGTTTCCGGAAAAAAAGGTGTTTCGTGGCTTATTGCGCTTCAATGACGCGATTTTTGTTGGAAATGTTATTGAGTTAAAAAAAAAAAAAAAAAAAGCAAAAAATGTTTAAAACAAACAAACAAACAAAAAAAAAGCTAAATTACAAAGCATGTCTGCAACATTGGCCAACGGCGACTAAAACCAAAGCACGACGAATTCAACTTCGCCTCTCCGCCTTTCCACTCTCATCAACGTTCGTTTCTCTCCTGTCAGCGGCAACAGGTACACACGAGGAGAGTTTCGCAGCGTTCGCACGCCTGCGGGCGGCTGAATTGTGCACGGCTGCGCGAGCTGTCAAGTGCTGCGAAATGTGACTGAAGCAAGCTTTGTTCTCTCAGGAAAGCTGCTACGAAAAAAAAAAAAAGAACAAGTCAAGTGTTTTCCTGCCGATCGCTGCTGTCGTCGTGACATCATCAACGTAGATGTTGAGAATTACGAGTTTCATGATGCGGCTAGCGCCAAGTGGTCACGAATGTTACTGACGGTGATATACAAAGAAAAACGGATTCATTAGTAACTCATTCAGTACCAGCCAATTCTGGACCAAGTCTGAAAAGACGTTTAAAAACGTCTTTGGGAGTGAATGAGTTAAGAGACACACCGCAAATGAAATATCGTTGAATTTGCCTCCTGGAAGTATCGCGTTTACGAGTTCAATGAAACACCGACACTCAACGTAAATGAAAGGCTGACTGCACGATGGCTAAGAGTGCGATATTGATCGATGTGGTTTGACAGCGCCGCAAAATGATCAGTTTCTCCGATTTTGCTCCTCATGCGTTTCGACCTCAAATTGCAAAGACAAATATTGTCCGTTTTGTTTGCAGGAGAAAAAAAACAAAAATACCATGTCACCATCCTCATGGTTCTATACGGTAAACGAATCGTGACTTGTCTGAAAGATGACGTCAAAGGTGATTTATCGTCCTCCATCGCTCCTGGCCTGTCACGCACCTTTCATCCAGTCCACCACCTGGCTCGCAGTCCACTTGCTGACCGGCTCCATCACCAGCGCCATCGGGTAAACTTTACGCCTTCACCCCCCCCCTGCGCCTCCTCCGGGGTAACTCCCCTCCCACCTCCTCCGGTCCCGTTAGCGCAGCGGGGTGGCGTTCAGCTGCGGACGTCCGGTGATGCTCCGGTACATTCCTGAGCTGGCTCGCCTGTCACAAGAGTCTCCGCGCAGGCATCGTGGGCTGCTCCTGCTCGGCTCCTGGCAACGGGAGACAGTGAGATGAGGCGCGAGTGTGCGCGTCCTTGCCTCGGCGTGCAAGAGTGGGAGATATAAGTCGCGCACGGGCGCTCGTTCTCTCTCCGACTCTCTCTCCTTCTCTCTTTTGAAGCGGCGCACGCGCCCCCGTGGGTTGTTCGGCGCGCACGTCCGTGCATGACTACGAGGCTACGTACCGCGGTGCAGATGGGATGGAGGGAAGATGTCATCCTCCAGAGGTTCTCGGCGTGTGTGGATGAGAGGCAGGGAATCACCACTTTGGTTTCCTTCGGCTAGCTTGCGCGGGGGTTGGTGGGGGGGGGGGGCGACCGTAATGAATCCTCAGCTGACCTCCTCCTCTTTCTTCACTCATTGCTCGATTTCCTCCCTCCAGGCTGCAGAGGAGAGTTGCTTCGGTGGCTCAACTCCCGCTCCCCCCTCCCACCTCCGTCGGGAACTCCCATCACGGTATTTTCAAAGTCCCCTTTTATGCCGACGTACGCCACATAATGAGTGATAATACTCATAAAGATTGACTGCAAATATAATTTGCGACCCCCCCCTCGCCTATTTACCCTCCCCCCACCCCCAAAAAGGTTTATAAAAATGATGCCACAAGGAGGTGGCAAAGCACTACTTTTGTCCAAATGAAGCTCCTCGCCTGTCTCAGGCAGTTGCTTGGCATCAAGTTGCCACAAATGTGCAATAATCATATGAATAGGTGTGGAGTCCCACCTGGATTTATACCCCGCCCGTTAATGTTTTGCTCAAAGTCACCGACTGTCTGCTGCAAAAGGAAAATCAATTGCTTTGTTGAGGAAGACATTTGGCGATCAAAAAGATGAGCACGAGAGCAAAAGTATTGGAACGCACAGGTTTACATGAACTTTAAGTGATTAACATTTCAAATGTGTGGGGGGCGGTGGGGGGGGGCAAAAAATAAATAAATAAAACGGTCGATTTTATCTTTGGTGTGATGTGTGGTGTCAGTCGACGGGGTGATTTGCGAGGGGATTGCGGCTTACTTCACGTGACTTCCTGTTTATTCTTGCTTCTCGTTTCTCCTTCTTTAAACAATCCTTGTTCTCGTGCCGCATAAAAAAAGAACAAAAAAAAAAAAAAAAACATGATCCTTTGACGGTTAAAATGAAGTGGAAGTGACTGATGAACTTGAAAAGCCTTTTTGCCACACTTAGATTCAAACCAACGCAAGAGCGGGACCTGAGTAAATTGTTCAGGGTTCCTGTTTTATTCCCAGTTACTATGGAAACTAAAATTACGTACAACTTCCTCTGTTTATTTTCAGGAATGACTGGCAAGAAAAAATTACAAGATTGCACTACTGTACATTTCCTGTGACTGTTCGTTTATTGTAGTTTTTTTTTTTTTTTTTTTTTTACAGCCCGAGCTCAGAATAATAGCAAAAAAAGTTGAATATATATAACGTATAAATTTGCTCTGTGCTCATGTTCGCAACGATTCAGGCATTTTATGATCCGCCGTACATCTTGAAAACCAATTTTAAACCAAAGCAAATTGAATTCACTCTTCTTGTTATTAAAAGAAAACGCACAGATCTCTCGTGCGTGGCAAAAATTTCCATTTTTGGATTTCCTTTCACTGATGAAATTGACATTCCGCGAACGGCTGGGTTCAGACCGTCTCCTGTCATGAAAAGTGAAAGTAAACTTGACCGTTCTCACTTCTCTGCCCATGTGATCCGCTTCCAAGTGAAGAAACGACCGGGTTTGCACGCTCTCTCACTTCCTCACTCGCGCCGCAGCGAGCAGGAATCTCACACGGGCAAACAAAACTGTCACGCAGCGGAACATTGGCACCAGTCGCAGATAATACTCGCCGGCCTAGTGGTAAGTCTGAAGACCCTCCACGTCTTCCTTTCGAAGCTAATCTCAAAATGTCATTGCCTGAGTGAACTTCATTCATACTTTTGGCACAAAGCTCAAGACCGGATTTTTCCGCGATGGATAACGATGGGCTCGGAAATGGACGATTGTGGCGGTTGATCTTTGGTTTTGTTTTTTCTCTGAGCGTGAACCGTTGCGCCGGATACATCCTGAAGGACTGTCGAATCAGCAACGGCAACGCCATTTGCTCGGCCAACAAACTGCGAGCCGTCCCTCGGGGCATCCCGGCATCGGTCAAAACCGTTGACTTGGCGGTGAACAAAATAGCCGCCATCCGGGTGGGCGATTTCGTGAATCACACGGTCCTGGCGCAGCTGGACCTGAAGCGCAACAACATTTCACGGATCGAAAAGGGTGCCTTCGCCGCCCTGCGCTCACTCCAAAAGTTAAATCTGAATAATAACCGTCTGGCGCAACTGGGAGATTTTTTTGAAGGTTTGAGCAACCTGACCGAGCTACGACTAACGAGCAATTCCATCACAACTGTGATCCCTTCCTCCTTGAAACCCCTGATGAATTTGACCGTTTTGGACTTGTCGTTCAACAAACTGCGGCACCTGACAAATGTTCACTACGCGATCCAACATCTACCAAATCTGCGGTATCTGTTCATCAAAAAAATCGACATCACCATTTTTCGGTCCTGGGAACTGACCAACATCACGGTGGGCCCGGCGTACCTCGATCTGTCGCAAAACAACATCGACGTCTTTGCTATTAGCGCGGACGTTTTCCAGAACCTCACTTGGCTGAACATCGGTGGCGCTCCGAGAAAGCGAAAGTTGATCTGTGAGATTGGCGAAGGGACGGGGCTAAAACGGCTGACCACGCTCGATATCGGCGGGCTTCACTTGGAGCGCAAAGACGCCGCGGCGCTTTTTCGTAGCGTCAACTTTTCGCTCAGCACGCTCCGGATGAACGCGATGAAACGCAACCTCCGAGAACTGCTCAACATGTCCTGCACCATCCCGACACTGACTCAGCTGCAACTCAGAGGCAACAGACTTCAGCTGCTCGATTCCACTTTGCTTCGGTTGTGCTCCTCCGTCACCGAGTTGGATGTAGCCAACAATCGCATGCAAAACATTTTCAGCGACGCCTTCCGAGCCCTACAAGGTCTCAAAAGCTTGACTCTCAGCCAGAACAGACTATCGTCGGTCCCGCCCGCCGTTAGGAATCTGACGAAACTTCTCGAACTGGACCTGAGCTTCAACAACATCAGCTCACTCGGTTGCGATGACTTTGCAGAGCTGCGCAAACTCAGGGTGCTCGGCCTTTATCGGAACTACATATCGACCATCAATTTGTGCGTCTTCAAAGATCTGACCAACCTTCAGGTCCTCAAATTGCAGACCAACCGGATCACGAAACTGAACGGCGTTTTCACGAGATACTTGCCAAATCTCAGGCAGCTGAAACTGGATGAGAATCGAATTACCACCATCGAGAAGGGAGCGTTTGAGGGCTTGCGGTCTCTCCAGAACTTATCAATGCAGAGGAATGAACTCCAAAAGCTTGAAAGCGGTTCTTTCGTCGGCCTGACGATGCTCACCGACATTCTGCTGCCATCCAACCAAATCGAAGAGACCGAGATCACCGCGGGCGTGTTCAACGATCTTATTAATTTAAGAAGGTTGAATTTATTGGACAATCGCATCAAGTACAGGAGCAGTTCAGCATTGCCCGAGGCGCCGTTCTCCCGCCTTTCTCAACTGGAGACTTTGGCCATGGCGGGGCAACACGGCAGAGGCAGGTCCCAGCTACCTCGCAACTTTCTTCAGGGTTTGAGCAACCTTCTCATTTTTGACATGAGGAACGCCCAAATTGTCTCCTTGCACCAAGATACGTTCAAGCACACGCCTTCGCTTCAGAAGCTTGACATCAGTTCAAATGAGCTCACGGATATCTCTCCCAGGATGTTTGATCCCATCCACAACCTCCAGAGCCTCTACATTTCAAGAACCTCTCTCCGGTCGCTAGATTTCCTCAAGGAGGCCAACCTGACCAAATTAGAGTTCCTACAAGCCCGGAGGAACCAGTATTCAGTCATCACCGTGGAACAAATGGCCTCCCTTCCTTCTCTGGTGTATTTGGATCTTCAAGGGAACGGTTTCTTATGCGACTGCGACAACTCCTGGTTCCTCCAGTGGATGAACAAAACGCCAACCCAAGTATATGACGCTTACAACTTTGTCTGCAACTACCCCCTGAACCTTAAAGGCATGAAGCTGCTGGACCTTGACATCCAATCCTGCTCTGTAGACGTGGGGTTCATCTACTACGTCTCCACCACGTGCGCCATCCTCCTGTTTCAGCTGACGGCATTCACCTATCACTTCCTGCGATGGCAGCTGGCTTACGCCTATCACCTCTTGCTGGCTCGACTGTATGAGAGGAAATACAGGGACAGGCAACCAAACTGTCTCTATGACGCCTTTGTCTCTTTCAACGCCCACGACGAGGACTGGGTCTACAGGGAGCTGCTGCCCAAACTTGAGGAAGAGCAGGGCTGGAGGTTGTGCCTGCACCACCGAGACTTTGAGCCAGGTGAGGAATGCGTTGTAGTATCACCTTTGCTCCATAGGGTGTCGCTGTTGCGCTAATTTTTAATTCACCCGACAGGGAAACCCATCATGGACAACATCACGGAGGCCATCTACGCCAGCAGAAAAACCATCTGCGTCATCAGTCGCAAATACCTGGAGAGTGAGTGGTGCTCAAGAGAGATTCAGGTGGCCGGGTAAGAACTATGCTTTTTTGTTTTTTTTCCCTACTTCTACTTAAGAGACGAGCGTGAGTTCTTTTGCCATCTCTGCTCATAACCATGACACAGGGAAGATTTTCACGTATCTCTGTCCTGACAGCTTCCGCCTGTTTGATGAGCACAAGGACGTTCTCATCCTGGTCTTCCTGGAGGACATTCCCATCTGGGAGCTGTCTCCTTACTACCGCATGAGGAAGATGGTGAACAAGCGGACCTTCTTGAGCTGGCCCCGGGCGGCCCAGTGCACTGAACTTTTCTGGGAGAAGCTGCGGCAGGCTTTGCAGTCCACAGACAACGCCGATGGCGAATTATTACTCCTAACCGTGGAGGACAAAGGATGATGAACATGATAAGGAGAAGGTAATGAAGGCGGATGGAGCCCTGGCTTTTCTATTCCCTTAGTCTGGAGTGACATGGCAAGTTCACAAGCCTAATTTTGATATAATGCCTATAAAGAGAGCCTTCATGTCCCTCGACTAAGAAAATGTTTATTAATATATGGTTTAGTGGAACATTTTGGTGTTCAAACGTACAATGCGCAATTGTTTTTTGTGTTTTGTCAGTTTCACAGTAAACTTGGACTTGGTGTGGATAAATAAATAGCTTGATGCAAAAAGGCTGTCCCTCTTATTTGGTGAACTGTGCGATTGAGAGAGTGAAGACGAAAGAATACTTAAAAAAATACTCCTGTTGTAATTCCAGAGCTCAACGATTGACTACTTGTGCCCAAAATACACAAAATATCTAATTAATTTTAGTTATAAAATTTACGATTGAGAGAACAGAAAAATACAATTAAGTCACCTTATAAAACGGGGGCGGGGGGTAACAGACATTCAAATTGGAGTAAAAACATTTACTCAGTTTATCAGATGACTTCTTAGAAAACCACTGTAATTTGTTTTACCAATTATACCAGAGCACAACCAATATTTTCCGATCAATGTCGACATTTTCTGAACGAAAACCCAAACCCAAAAGACACGTTGCAGGCCTGTTCTCACGACGTCCAGCAGGTGGCGTCCTCGTCAAAGTAAATGTGTACTCACGTTTGAGAAGACACTCACGTTGCCGAATGATGCTGTATTCCAACACGAACGCTCCACATTTTTGAAGTGTTTGTAATCAAGAGCAGTCAAATTCCTTGGGTGTCCAAAGTCCTTGTTCACTCCTCTGACGTAGCTCCCAACATTAGCTAGTCCAGCTAACAAGCTACGAACATGGCGAGCTGTGGCTAAATAGCCGGCTATGCTAACCACGCACTGTGGGTTCTTCTGGAAGAGTGACGTAATTAGCTTTAGCTAACTAGCCGTTAGCAACCACTGCGAACGACTACGATCACGCCGATAGAAAGGAACGCTCCGCAGTCGTTCTTAAAGTGTCCCCTTCTTAACAATATGCCGTCACTTGTGTATTATAAGGCTGTCCTGAGCAAACATTTTTTTTGATCATCGCTTTTCAACCTAACACACGTTACAGCACATGAGCTCTCCCTCTCCAACTGTCTTCCATTCATTCTCGTTGACTCTTCTTCGACGGTGAGCCAGGTGCAATGAAAAATACATGACAGATGCAAATTTTTCTTTCAAATGAATTGTCAACCCAAAATAATCACGACGTTACATGATATTAAAAATCAAACTCTTTAATAAATAAAACAGGCAACCAAAGCTACCCAACATGCGATACATTTGAGAACTCAATGGGTCGTGCTTTCACCATCAACCATAAAAAAATGAAAATGCGAGAACTTCCCAAAGCTTGTACTGTACATGCGTATTTACAATACTACTCTTGGCTGTTTATAAAACAGAGCTTACATTTGTGTTCAAATCAAATCCAAAGTAGCGAAGCATAATTGAATGGAGAACGAAACAAAATGCAGTTGTTCGAGTTTATGCTGCTGCTGTGCTGTTAGATTGCTGGATGAGGGCCGATTCGCTCTTGCTCTTGCGCTCGCTACACACGCACACAAAAATAACATTGATTAGACACGGATATGACTTCAAGAAAGACACAAAACCGTCTGACACCGAGTCACACTCACTCGATACACCGCCTCACTCGCTGGGTCCAGCTCAGATTGGGGTTGGCACACAAAAACCTTCCAGGGAGGTGAAAGCTGAAAAAAAAAAAAAAAAACGGGACCCAGCAAGAAAGTGAGCATCCGGGAGGAACACCGGCACACAAAACCCTTCCAGGGAGGTGAAAGCTGAAAAAAAAAAAAAAAACAGGAGCCAGCATGAGAATGAGCATCCTGGAGGAACACCGGCTTGTTGGTGAACCCATCGGCACGTGTGTGTGTGACTGTTTTGTGCCATGAAATAAACTCACATGACAGCGTTCATATCACAGAACTTGCCCATGGACTGCAAGCTGTAGTCCAACACCAGTTGGCATGACAACTTCTTCTTGATGTACCTCAAACAGCAGCTGGCTGCAAAAAAAAACACACATTGCGACGGGTACGTTGTTGATTAGCTGCTCGAAAAGTTATTTGTGATTTTACAAAAAAACAACAACCTCACCTGAATGCGTGCTGGTGGTGAAGGTGGTGAGGATGAGGAGTGCAGTGAGGAGATAAACGGCGCGGCCTTCCATGCTTCTTTTTCTGGCAGGTGTTGTCGTTTTTTTGTTGCCTTGAGGGGTGCTTGGTGGAAATGTGTGAGAGAGAGCGGCCACCTCGCACCTTTAAATAGGATCGCTCACTTTGCCGGGCTTTCCCACGCCATGGGGAGGAGTGCCGGCGCTTGTGCAATGGCATGTGCAGCCAAGCGGGAGCAATGATCATCTTCAGTGAGGTGGGCGGGTGTCAGGACTGTACTTTCTCCTGTGGGGGGGGGGGAATGCACGCCAAGATAAACAATGTCTGAATCACCTGACACCTCAATTGGAATCTATTTTTAAACTGCAGACGTCAGAGGGCTCAAACAAAGCAAAAAAAAAATGTGAATCGTAAGTCATTAACACATCGGACCTGCATTTGCGTTGCTGACAGCGGCATAGCGTTTCCTTGTTGAGGGAGATAAAGGAAAAAAACATTTTTTTTTTAAAGGAGCGAATTGGATCAGTGTGGCAGTAAATGACATTTTTAGCTTCACCTTTTCTAGCTTAACACGTTTTCATCCAGGTTCGAGATTTGTAAACTGCTCCAGCTCTGTTGTTTTTTTTTTCTCACTGAATTACTGACGTCCATTGTTTGAAAAGAAAAAAAATCAAATGAAACATTGACGATGTAAATATCGCATTCGACTGTGTAACAAAGGCTGCGTTTCGTGGTTCAAAAGATTGTTTTCAAATGAGCAAATCGTGATTTGTTCAACTGTGACGTCTTTACTTCGGGAAAAATACAGCGAGTAACGATTTAATTCTGATTCGGAAGTCGTATTTAATGAAGAAGAAAAAAACAGATTCTGGTGCTGAGTAACAGATGAGCAGCTTTGAAATATTTTTTTTAGGAATGTGAGAATTCAGACGTTGCCCAAAAATATCAACAACAAAAAAAATAAATAAATAAAATTTTCATCTTTTTTGCCAGTGATTAATGACAGCTGTATCTCTCGATTGCTCTGGATTGAGTCCAGTGGAAATGAGGCGTGATGACGTAATGAGGAGAGTGGGCGTCCTGCGCGGGCCCTGCCTCAACTTGTAAACATGATGACGTCTCATGACACTCAGGTGAACTCCGCTTCAACACAACTTTGTCTTGGTTAATGTTTGAGATTGGATTGAGATGAAAAAATGCAGAGGACGGGTCGCTTTAATAGCCGTTGTGTAGTCACTCATTCACTCATGAACCATTTTCAAAATAATGGCAAAATGTAAATTTTCCGTGCCTAGTGGTTTGCCATGTCTGCCTCACAGTACAGAGGGAGTGGGTTCAAATCCGGGATCAGGCCTTCTTGGGTACTTTGGCTTCCTCACACATTCCACAAATGTGCATGTTAGCTCTGTTAGATTCAAGTACTACCAAAAAAAAAAAAAAAAAAATGGCCGAGCATTCACATCTGGGCAATATGGGTCAGATCTGGATTGAAACTAGGTTTGGGATGACAGCATTTGACTCCATGTAGGCGTTGCACATTCTGCTCAACTCTAACAAAAAATGTAACTGGCTCACCTCTAGTGGATGTAGAAAGTCTACACACCCCACTTCAAATACAATTTTTTTGTAGTACCCCCCAAAAATGTGACCAAAATCATTCGGTGGCAGTATTAGCCAATCACATTCAAATTGATGTTAGATGAGTGTCAGGACACAACAACCTCCGATTTGGCTCAAATCAAGTTCAGCTGTTCTACCAGACGAGTTGACTGGATAAAATCCAATTTTCCAAAGGACGTCCACACTGCAAACTGTATACATTAACTCCACGCACGTCAGGGAAATTTGCTCCTTTCATCTCCCGCTTGATTTATCAAAGGGAAAGTTTGACGTCTTGTGACGTGAGCCGGAGGCACTTGAGATCGTAAACACTGCTGCTTCGTTTATCTAAATCACTCACTCTAAAGCCGACGTCGGAAGCGTTCTGATAAGGCGCACGTGATGGGAAATGGACCAGTTTGAGCAATATCGCGCACGTCATCGGGATTAAGGACGACAAAATCCAGTGGTGGGAGGTAACAAGTGCAAATATTTGCGACTCGCAGGACTATTTTTTTTCCAACAACTTCAGTCTTTCTTTTCCAGATTTTGGATTAGTCTCAAATATTGCTTTGGAATTATGTTGAAGTGAGTGGAGGAGCTTGATTTTGTCAGGCCATAGCCTCGTCTTGGCATTTGTAAACGATTACATTTTGCTGTTTGAAGCTCGATCCTTATCACCCTCATCACAATTTTTTACTTTTATACCTGAATTTAACTACCTTTCACTGTATTTTTTTTAATCATAGTAAAAGTTGAATGAGTACTTCTAATTTTACCAGTCTTTGTCTTTAATCTGTATTTCATTTTTAATAGAGTGTTAATATTTTTGGTACCTCTGATAAAGAATCACAAAAAGCCCGAAAAGGGAAACCAGGTGCACGTATCTTCCAGGTTTATTGCAAAGCATACAAATAACAACAGAGGCACACAAAAAGAGAACATGGGGGGCGGGGGGAAACCAAAAAAAAAAAAGAGTTATTGTAGAAGCTGATGGATGACATCATCTTTACATAAAGAGCAAATCGCAGCAAGTTTGGTCTTGGGTTGAAAACATTTCATAAATAAAACAGCAGTGGCGTGCTTTAATGGGCGATACATTTTGCAGAAAAGGAAAGTTTCGGTTTTTAAAACGGTAAGACAAAAGGCGACACGATGAAATTCTTTACTAGCTTGACGGTGACTGCGACAAACATCGACGTGAGATCGATAAGCGATTTATTTTGACGACTTTCATTTCTTTCGATAGATTTGAGCTCAATTGGCGGGTTTCCTTTTTTTCTGTAACAGTGCAGCAAAGCTCATTTTCTTCCGATATATCAATTATTGCATCAACGCAGAGCGGCGTGCCTGCGCCAAAGCGCTTTGGTCAAATTGAGCAGCAAAAAAAAAAACACTAAAGGGCACAAAGGCACTTTGGGGAATTTTACGTTGGCGAGCATCACGCTTCGTCCTCCGAGCGCTCGTCTCCCCTCAGCCTCGCTCGCTCCCGGTGCCTCTGGATGGCCCGCCAGATTCGGCACAGAACGCCGCCCCTGAGGATGCAGGAAGGAAAAAGGCGGGGCTTTGGCAAGGAATTTTTATTTTATTTTTATTTTTTGAATGGGCGTGCAAATTTCGTTTTACCTGAGTCGGAGACAGCGTAAATCATCTTTGGTGATGTCGTTCAGGACGTCGGTCAGTGTGTATTCTTCAAGCGCAAACTACACGGACAGACAGCAATGTTGACACCCGTGAACTATGTCGAAGTGATTTGAGGAGTTTCGTCTCGCTGCCATTTTTGCAATATCAAAACGTAACCTTTTACTGGGGTGTGAGTTCATCCCGTATTGTTACTATTCGCGACAGTTCCAAACGCTGTTGTCACCTTATCGATAGTGTCTGGGTCCGCCCCCTGTTCCTTCAGCCAATCGGTGAGCTGCTTGTCCGGCTCGTGGTCCGCCGGAATGTGGAAGATGGACGGAGGTGAAATGTCTCCAGAAAACAATCAAATATCAGTTAAGAGGAGCTTTGTGGATTTTAAAAACAGAAACTACAGCCTTGCTAATAATTCTAGCCAGTCAATTGGGTTCTTCATTATGTGTTAGCATGAAGCTAGTGGGGGCATCACTCGTAAGAAGTCGTTTGCTTGTTTTAAATACACAAAGTATGACTGTGTTTGGTCCCTATCCCCACTAGATTGTTTTTGTGTCTTAAATAACAACCTGTCTGTTTTTTTTTCTGTATGTGGCCCTTCAAAGAACAAGTTTGGACCATCTTGAGCTAAAGCGAAATGTCGGGCTTTCACCTGGCGGTCTGTGACGGACTCGAACCAGGTCCAGGTCTTGCGTGCGCTGCTGCAGCGTGGCCTTCAGGACCTGCTGGTACTCTCGCTCCTTGTGGAGTAGTTCCTCCAGAAGCCTGTCGGGGGCATGGGGGTTGGGGGGGGGGGGCAGGAGAGCTCAAAGTCAATCATTGAGGCAGCGACGCGACACCAGACTTTGTACAGTGATGACATCTTTTGTGCCACAGCAATGTGTGCAGGGTGTGCTCGTGCGGGGGCAGAAGTGGAAAAAGCTCCTGTTCTTATTCAACTAAATTTTACTGAAAGCGCCCCCCCCAAGGCCCCCCCCCCAAAAAAAAAGTAGTATAAAAGTAAAAATGAATTTTAACTCTTCTTTTTAGTACCCGTGTTGATGACTTAGCGCAACAAAAACGACACGTTACGAGCTGTTGGAAGCTCTCAAAACAATCTCGTCATCTCATGTGTGGGCACATTCTGACTTTGCACACACACACACACACATACACACACACACACTCGAGGTGGAATGTTGACGGTGTGTGTCTTACGCAACCTCAAGTGGCAAACGCTCCACCAACTGACACTCCCTCGGCCTGCGTCACATCAACAAACAAAAGTCGCACTTGCAGGAAGTGAGGTCTGGAAAGCAATTTCCTACGGGTGCGTTTCCACACTAAACTTGTCAAAAAAAAAAAAAAAAAAAGTGCATGGAAAACTAAAGCAAAAATCGACGTCAAATATTATCATGATATTATATTTGATTTTTTTTTGTGGGAATGATTTGAAAAGAACTGTTATGTTTTTCAAAGCTAGTTGTAAACCATTTTGTTAAAAAAACAATTGCTGTCAGCCTGGAAAACATGCCCTTTATTCTCTAACAACAAAAAAATAGAACGATGTTCTGAAGAAATATGACTTTAATACAGAAATAATGTGCCTTTTATTTTCGGGGAAATATATCTTTATTCATGAAAAACTCTTTTTGGTATTGAAAAAAAAATAGGAGTCAATTCTTGTCATAATACGACTTCATTCTGACAAAGAAGCATTTCTTTTATTTTCAGATTAATTGTCAGGAGGGAAAAAAAAGTTGATACCTTTATCAAAAAAATATATATCCATATTCCAAACATGAAAAATACTCCTGTCATATTTGTACCTGCTGGTCTCCTGCTTGAGGCGGCCCAACTGCGCCCCCATCTGGTGGTGATGCAAGCGTTGGTGCTCGTGGGCGTGGGCCGGGTGCAGCGCGGCCACAGTCGAATGCAGCGCCGGGTCGGCGGGGTTCCCCGGCTCGGTGGCGGCCGGCGCCAAGACGGGACCGAAGTCGGCCTCCTCCTCGTCCACCTCGTCCTCCTTCTCGGCGCCCTCGCACTCCGACGCCGGGCCGAAGTGCGTCTGCAGCTCTGCGGAAACGGGACGAATCGGATCACGTTTCCGAACCGCTCGAATGGAAACCGTCCAACGGTCGAAAACTGATCCCACCTGGGATGAGGATGGTGATGGCGGCCTGCACGGCCCTGCGGATGATGTTGTCCATGGCGAACATCCAGTGAGGTTTGATGTGATGATTCCTCAGCACCTTGTTCACCTGACACAAGCAAAAGATATTTTCATAAAACCGATGGTTGGCTCGGCGAGTACTGATGTCAAGAACCGGCCTGATTTTAATTCGCCGCCATTGACTGCCATAGACGTCAAATATCCCTTCCTCGGCGCCGAAGCACCGCTTGTGTGTAAATGAAGCTCGCGACTCAGTCACGCATTTTCCGTTCTATTCAAGTCAACGGAAGCAACGGCGGCAGACGACGCCGGACTCGCCGAATCTTGGAAGCCGAAGAGCACCAGCTGGATTTGGTTGATGGAGGTGGAGTCAAAGTCCAGGTCCAGCTTGAGCTTGGAGATGGTGGCGGCCATGACGCGCCTCTCCGGGGAATGGATGAAGTCTCGCAGGATGCAGATGATCTGCTTGATGTGCTCCACCGACAGCTGCAGCTCTTCGCTGCCCTGAAGCGCGGCCGGACGGAGAGCGAGCGTCAAATCAACTTCAAACGAGCGATAGGATTCATGTTGGCGTTTCAGGAAGACGTTTGCACGTGCGCACCTGGATGTAGTTCTCCTTCAGGTTGGAGATGACCTTCTCCTGGTCCTCGTTGAGGACCTTGAACAAAATGGCTCTCCTCTCGCTGTCCTTCTTGAGCAGGAAGAGGCCGCCGTCCCGGTCCTCTGGCGAGGGGGGGGCCCCGCTGCGGTCCTCCGACACCGAACCCTCGTCTGGAACGCTGCCGCGCACACACGCGCACAAATAAACACCGTCGGCTCGGTACAGTTTTTTTTAATTTGATTTAATTTATTTACGTTTGCAGATGCAAGCCTCTCCTGGCTACGGTGTGTGCGCAGCGGAGTCAACACGCGCGCACACACGCACACACACACACACACACACACACACACACACACACACACAGACACACACACACGTATATGCGAGTATGTGTGTGCGTGTATGCTAAGCCATTAGCAGCCGCTTGTAAAGTAATCAAGCTTCATTATATGAGGGCTGTAAAAGGTAGCGGTGCATGCTGGGACCACAATAAGGCCACCTGCCACCCAAACACACACACACACACACACACACACACACACACACACACACACACACACATTCATTCACATTGTTTTGACGTCAGGAACAGGCGCAATGTTATCGCCGCCAAGCTAGGAAGGTTCCGCTGAGTGACATTTATCTCGCTCCGCGTTTCGACCAAACTTGGCGTCGAGGGAACCGCGTCAAAATGAGTTGAGGAGCTTTGTTTAGACAAAAGTAGTGCTTTGGCACCACCGTGCTGCCGAGGGCGCTACGTTGAATCGGGGAAGGCAAAAGTCATCGTGCGGCATCTCGGTGCCCGGGAACTACGTCGGAGTGAGTTGAGTCGTTTCATTTCGACAAAGGTAGTGCTTTGCCGCCACCCGGTGGCATCTATCGGCGGTCGCAAACCCTTTTGGCCAGGCATCTGTTGCATGAATGTCAACAGGTGGATAAACAAAATTGTACCTGCTGCCATCTAGTGGAAGAGTATTGAATTGTTCGACCTGTCACTATATGTCACTAGGATTAGATAGAGAGACTAAAAGTGGATGGCAGAGTTGATGGGAATGTCTGCTTGAGTTCGGAGTGGTACTCGCGCGTGCGTATGGAAGCGTCGCACACCTCAGGTAGTTGGAGTTGGGCGGCTTGAGCAGATTCTCCGAGCCGGAGCTTTTCTTTTTCTGGAAGAAGACGTCGTGTTTGGAGTCGCAGTCGGGACTCATGGAGCCGTGTTCGCTGCTGCTGCTCCCCGTCGCCTCGCACTGCAGCTGCACCGGCAGCGAAACGTGGATGTAGTCTGGCAAAATGCAGGGGAGGGGCGGGGGGTGGACATTTGAGTAAATGAAAATGCATTGGAGTCCAAAGTGAAATACAACTGAACTGTGAGAATAAATTTTGGATTAATTTAAGCGTGCGCGAAAATGGCGCCGCACCTGACGGTTTGAAAGCGATCTTGCTTTTCTTGCCCTTGGCGTTGTGTCGCACAAACGTGTCCCTCAGCAGGTCGGAGGCCAAGGCCCGCTTGTGAGGGTCGGGCTCGAAGCAGCGCAGGATGAACGACTTGGCCTCCAGCGACAAAGACTCCGGGATCTCCGGGTGGATCTTAAACATGCCCACCTGTGTATGTTTCGCGTGGGAGAACGTAAATAAGGGTCCGTTAAATCTTTTACGGTCTTCCTTCGAACCCCGAAGGAGGTCAAAGCGGTCGCCGACCTTAAACATGGCGGCTTGCGGCTCGCCCAGCTCGTGGAAGGGAGGTTTCCCGGTGGCCATTTCTATGATGGTACATCCCAGGGACCAGATATCGGCCGGCGCTCCGTACCCCCGGGGACCCTTATCGATGATCTCCGGGGCCATGTACTGCAAAGTGCCTGCACGTAGAGACATACAGTTTTATCCTCGTTTGTTTTGTCTTCGGTAGATGTGGAATTTCCCCGACAGAGTGACTTTAACAGTTGAGACGACGACAGGGGGACAATAAAAGCGAGATGGAGGCAATAAGGACGCACACGGATACGCCTAACTAATGAAAGATCAACACAGTTCTGCCTCTGCTTGATTAGCTAATCTAATTGCACACGGCTCCGACCGACGGAGGACGCCAGATGGTCGCCGAATGTCACCGCGTGAGCGCGCATACTCCAGCATGCTACCTCGAAGCGGTTTCCATAGATAGCGAGTCACGGAAAATGCGCCGAAACGATGTTCGGCTTCAACCGTCAATCAAATTCCATTCGACTTGAGCGCAATTTCACAAATTTACCCGTGAAGGTCTCGGTGCAAGGGTTGACTCCCGCCAGCCGCTTGGAAGTCCCAAAGTCGGAAATTTTCAGAACGCCGCTGTAGGTGTTGACCAGCACGTTGTCACCCTGGCAAAAAAGGAAAACGTGAGTCATGAGTTCAAAAAAATATGTATAAAAAAAAAAAAAGACTTCTCATCGTCGGACCTTGATGTCCCTGTGGACGATTTGGTTCTCGTGCAGGTAGCGAAGGCCCTCCAGGATCTGCCGGGTGTAGAAGATGATGGTGGCCTCCTTCAGGGGACCCCATTTGGAACGCAGCAATGCCGACAAGCTCCCTGGAGGAAGAACCAAACAGTGACTTCGATTTTTTTTTCTCTCTTGTGACACACACACACACACACACACACACACACACACACACACACACACACACACACACACACACACAGGCTCACACACCTCCAGGGACTTGCTCCATGAAGATCTTGATGTATCCGTTCTCTGAAACTGAGCCCAAATACTGGACGATGTTCCTGTGCTTGAGGTATTTGTGCAGGGCGATCTCTTCGTGAAGAGGCTGCGAGTACCTGATTGAAAAAAGAAGAAAAAAAAAAGTGTGTTTCTTCACGTTTACTGATGATCAGTAAAGATTTTTTTTTTCGTCAAGAAAAGATGGTAGCTACTTCGAAATCATTAGCTTTGTGGATTGTCTTTGGATAATTTAGCTAAAACGAATTGCTAGCACACTAGCTAACATGAGCTCTATCGACGTGCTCTGCATTTCAAGCGTAAAAAAAAAAAATGCATCCGTGCTAACCCCATAACAGAAAAAGTATCAAACTCAAAAATGGTAATCGTCAATGGCACAAACCGCGTCGACCGCGAACGGTTCTTCTGCTGACCCAGAAATTGCTGATGCTACATGCTAACAAGAGCATTTCAGCTTCTCCTTTACAAAGATAACAATCGTCAATTTTGATTTTGTGCGGTCTTTTGCCACCCTGGTTAGCGCTAAATTCCAGTTTGGAGGATTTTTTGTCCATTAAAAAAAGTCAACTTGAGTCTGAGCGGTGTTTGTTGTTTGCCGCGACCGCTTGGCGCATCACCCACCTGCTGTCTCTCTCCGGGATCTCCTTGATGGCAATTCGGACCTGGTTGCTGACGTCCCTCCCGGCGTACACCACCCCGTAGGTGCCTCGACCCAGCACCACCCGGTCGCCCGTCTCGTCGGTGTCGTACTCGTACTGCAGCGGTGCAAACAGCGGAAGACTCAGGTATGCTACGACTTTGACTTACAAGTACAAATCTAAAAAAAATTCTGAAGTCGAGGTACCACCGGACAGTCCAGTCAGTGGAAATCTTCGCACTCACCTCCAGGGTGTCTCCGTCTCCTTCGCCCTCCAATTCCACGGCGTTGCCGGTGCCGTCCGAGATCATTTCCTTGACCATGGAGCAAAACCTGAGCGGATGTGCATTCGCACGTTTAATGCGCAATCTCGCCGTAACACAAAATGGCTACCTTACCGAGCACACTGCTCCTCGGTGGAGAAATAAATCTGGAAGTCGTCGGAGTTGTCGTGGACGTAGAGGAAGCAGCAACGTTCGTCAAACTTGCTGATGCTGTCGGGAAAAAAAGCGGAATCAACTCCCACCACGTCGCGGTTGATCATGCGGTCCAATAGAACGTCAAGAAGGAAGATTCGAGCTGCCCAGTGAAGATTTGAACTTTTTTGTCACCACTGCAACATCTACGCTAATTTCCACTCGCCCATCTATGGCATTTCGCATGATCTGTTAGCATGAAGCTGTTACAAACGAGGTTCAAACGTCTTAGGTCTGGGCTCTCATTCGTACCTGATGCCTTTGATGGACATGGCGGTGAAATTCCACTCGTGGATGCCTTTCTGCAACACACGAACACAACGGACGGTCACCGAGGAGAACGAGGAAGCTTTCGCTTTCACTTGAGGGAAAGACACCACGGACCGTTTCGGCGGGCGACACGTGCCAGATGGAGACGTTCTTCTCTTCCGCTTCGTTGTTGATGGACACGTACGAGGGTTGGTACACTTTGGTGGGCTCCAGAATCAGGACCTGGAACAGGAAGACGTCGGTGAACAGTTTTGGGGTGTCGGATCCAGCCGGATGTGCGTTTTCACGTCCGTACGGGAAAACGTAGCCGGTTGGTGGTTCCCTGCGTGGCCTCCACAATGATGTCCATCCAGAAGTTGAGTCTGTCGCGCTGCGGGGAATGTTCCACCAACTGCTTTTTAAACCGCTGAATCAGCTGAAGGTTCTGCACCACCGAGCGCAGGTACCTGCGAAGAGGGAAACCATAAACCGTCGATAAACCAAACCAGGTACAGGCGTTACCATCCAATCCTGGATCGGTTCTTAGAAGGACATCGGATCTTACCAGAGAGGCGGCTTCAGTTTGAAGAGTTTCTCGGCAGCTTGGGTGGCTTTGGGGATGTCGCTAGCTAGCATGCTAACAGTGAAGAACTGACCCACATCCCAGTAGTTGTTCATTTTCTCCAGGGACCCTTTCCGTCCTAACAGACTGTTCAACCTAACACCTGAAAACGACAGCAATAAGATAAGATCAGATAAGATACGATAAGAAAACTTTGATTAGTCTCACAATGGAGAAATTCCAATTCGCAGCAGCAAAGTTATGAAAGGAAGAAGTAGAAGAACAAAATATAAGAGCTGCTGTAAAGGCAGCCACTCTCGCGGCGCCATCTTGAAGTCCAAATAACAAAATAATACAACACAACACATAAGACACAGACAGTCTTGCAATCTTAACCACTTTTCTGCATCCTCTTTGTTGTATGTGCACAAGTCTGCTACAAGCTAAGTTTTGAAAGCAAAAATAAAGCTGTAGCGTCCATTGACGAAAGGAGATTGGCTCTCATCTCCTGTCCCATGTAAATCCGCTTCAATTCCAAGTCGCGACTCCCAATACCTTTGATTTAAAAAAAAAAAAAAATGAATAAATAAACTACAAGTCTTTTTGAAAATCGATTTGAAGTTGTTACGAGTCCTGGGAATCATTTGCTTCCGGGAACCGTCATCCCTCCTCAAAAATCAAGGCACCAATGTAGTTGGTATCAAACAAGTGTTTCAAATAACGGCCTTGAAAACTGCAACTCCGTTGCCAAGTACGCCCCAGTTAGCGGTGCAAAAAAAAAAAAAAAAAAAAAAAAAATCTGAAGTCTCCAGATGGTAGTGTGTAAAAACTTGAACCTGGTGGCTGGTGACTGGATATCAAGTCCGAAATCCTCTTACCGATTTTCCTTAGTTCCATGGAGCTCTCGAACTGTTGGCCGGCGACGATGAGGAGAACGGCCAGATTAATACCCGAGTAGAGGGTCGGCTGCAGCTCAAACCCCTTTCTGTACCTGCATTAACAAACGGTTCCTTTCATCTGTTCCTCTTGGGGGGTCCTCAACATCAACATACATCTCGCATGGATTCACATTCCTGTTAAAACTCATCCAGTGCCAGCCAATTCTAGATCAAGTCTGAAAAGACGTTTAAAAACGTCTTTGGGATTGAATGAGTTAAGGGCTGGAAGTAGATTCTCACCACTGTATAGCGTTGTCTCTGTTTTTGGTGTCTTTGCAATCAGAGTCCAGGAAAATGTCCTTATAGATTCGCCCGCACAGGCAGAACATGTCGGGAGCCGGGTGTTCGCATGACTGCAGGACGTGCAGCATCACGCGTAAAGCCTGCTCCCTGTCACCGGGACTGTTCCTCCTGCAAACATGGCCACGTTTGAGACGACCTGAAAAAAGAACATCGGCGGAACACTTTCGGGGACGGTGGCTACTACGGTGGACGGCTTATCGGGTTACGGGGTGCGCGAAAGGGCGTTCCTCCGCGTCACCTGTTTAATGCGAAGGCGTAGTGGAACTGGATCATGGGCTGTGTTGCCAGGTCGCAAGTCGGCAGCATTTCCAACGTTTGCACCAGTTTGACCATGGCGTCGTAGTCCTGACGAACCAAAGAAACGTGATGCGTGACTCGCGTCTGATTTGGTTAGGAATGGTTTCGGTTACACGCAGGCGCGAGCAGACCTGGATGTCCCTGTAAGAGAAGAGCAAATTCATGACGATGTCCTGCGTGAGGACTTCGGTGTTGTCGATGCGGAGCTTGATGCGGGAGAGCTCCTTGGCCAGCTCCTCGCCTTGGTACTTCTCCCTGGCCTTGCGGATGTCGTTGAGCAAGGTGTCCTTAAAGGAGGCACTGGAAATAGACACGGTGGACACTAAGAACCATCTGCATTGAACGTGCATGGAATAATTGACCGTCAATGATTTTGAGGACCATTTATCCATTGAGACGTGGCATTTTTTTTTTCCCGTTTGCGTCTAACCAGGATGTGACGTGAATATCCTTCAGTAGGCTGGTGAAGCGGTCCATGAGGGGGACGCAGAGGGGCCCCAGGAGGTTGTCCCAACTGGGCTGCATGTACTCGCTGGCCCTCCGCTGGGCGTCGCTCTCGCAGCAGGTGTACTCATGGTTGGGGGTCACGATGTAAGGGATGAAGTAGTAGTTGCCGCTGGATGCCTGGAGGTCGACAGAGACGGTACCTTAACGCAGATAACAATCCACAGCAGGATTTTTGGGGGATTTTTTTTTTAATAGCCTAAAAAAAAAAAAAAATGGCAGTGGATGGCAACCATGCACAACGGTGACATTAAAAATAAGAGAAAACAACACGTGAATAGCCGTCCATTCTAGTCACCGCTGTCCCTTAAAGGGTTAAAAGGAGACTTGTCCCTTGTGTTTGTCACCAAAGCTTTCTGCAGAAATAAAAAAATAAAAAAAAGGTGAACGCCAGGCAGCCTTGGAGTTTGTAAGCCGCGGCAGAATCAGATGAAGCTCCCCAGCAGGATCTGGATGTTGTCTCTCAAGTGCTAATTTTCTCATCCATCTCTTGTCCCACAACATGCAACAAAATCCATTATACACATACAGACTGCACTCTGCACCCCCTGCCCCAAAAAAAAAAAAAAAAAAAAGTAGACCCACAAAAACAGAAGACAGACCAATTCTGAGGGTCTGCTGGATAGTAATTAGCAAGGCAGGGTGCATGTGGGGGGGGGGGGGTGGTAAGGAATACAATAAGAGTCATGAGTGTGACAGTTGGTCAGCGTCATGCCAACAACGCCAAATGTGAGCACAAACGCTCAAGAAAGAACCAAGTCAAACGTAAGGCAATGCCGTATTCCCGACTGACCGGAACAGGAGCGGGTCAGACTATGTTAGAACAAGATCAGGCGACGAGGTTTCTGTGGTTTGTCAGCACACTGGACAGTTAAATACCGCAAGTTCACATTTGGCCTTTCAGCATTTTGCGAGTTGCACATTTTTTTTTTTGTGCCCAAGGAGGCCAATGCAACTTCCTGTTCCTCCTCCGTCACTGTTCCAGAGCACAATCTCCCCGCATGCTTTTGCTGCTCGATTGTAACTTACTTTATTGCCAGAGCCTCTGTACTCAGGAGGCAGCTGGACCCAGGGGAAACCCAACCCTGGAAGATGAACTGCCTTCTATTAAAAAAAAAAAAAAAAAAAAAAAACAACAAACACCATTCAGACATGAAAACCGTTTGCTTGGAAGAACAGCCGCTAATGTTTCGTGGGATTCTATTTCAAGGAGAGCGCGTGAGTGGTGATTGGGACGGAGCGAAAGCCGCGCACAAAAATAGCCCAAGACATTGTATGAGCGTGCATGCGAGTGTCATGTACTGTCACGTGCGCAGACACTTACTGTGTTCTTCTGAGCAACCATATCCTGAAAGCACAACGCAAACATGAGTGAGTTTTCAAGGCTTATTCAAAAAGCAAAATAACAGAAAAAAATGCAGTTTTGTGTCGAGAGAAAAAAAAAAAAAGGGGCGCCCGTGGGTTGACCTTGAGCGACTGGGCCGTGTCGGGGTCGGTGTCGTGGTACAAGATGACGTTGTTGGCCATGTCGAAGCTCTCCCTCACGCCCAGGTGGTAGAACAAAGACGGCTGGCGGAAGACATCGCTCATGTCCACCACGGCGATGTCTGCACGGACAACAAGACATTTTGCAACTCTCCCTAAAAAGGACCGCGTTTGATTTTTCCATGAGTTATATTCTTGAAAAGTAACAAAACTTTTTTTTTTTTGGGGGGGGGACTCTGCCCACCTTTAGTGCTAAGTTATCAAAACAGGTCTTGCATGTATACTTTTGTACTTTGGAGCCTCTACTTGTTTACTTTCACTTCAGTTAGGTCTGCACTTCAATATTTTTCTCCACACGAGTATCTGGAGGCTATTTCGTGTGCGGTGGGGACTTTTTGCACCTTTGAACACACCTGCGAAAGCCTCATTCAATGTCGAAAGTCAAGAAAAGCATTCGCTTGCAACACGTTGCGACTAATAGCGACTTAGCCGAACGTCAAACAACAACAACGGGTGAACACATGTCAAGATTCACAAAGCAGACTTGGTACCTGCGTCGTAGAAGCTGTCCAGCACGGATGTCTCCCCAAAATCGAGCCTCCCGAAGGTGACGGTGGTGAGCAGGGCGCTCTCGGCGTCGCACGCCCGCTGCAGACATTGCAGCGCGCCGGATTCCGGGCTGCTGGCCATCACCGCTTTCAGCCCGTCGTTCAGCACGTACACCACCCGCAGGGATCGCTGCTTGGCCGGCGGGCTGGGACTGGACAGCTCGGCCCTCTCCCGGTCCCTCTCCAGCACGCACATGCCGGCCGAGTGCTCGCCCGCCATGCAGTCCGCCGCCTGCGCGCTCTGGCCGGCTTCCATGTCGCCGGGCCGCCTCCGCCTCCTCCTCCTCCTCCCCTTTGGCTTCCAGTCAAGAGCGCTTCTTCCCCGCTGGGGCTCGTCCTGCTCCTCACCTGACGAGCACCTGAAGTCTCGGGGAGGAGAGGAGCGCGTCTGAGGTTGTCCCTGCGCATCTCCGCCTCATTAAGTCGCATCATCGGCCCATTATCTCGCACCAAGGGGCCCCGTTTACTCCCGGACCGGTTCCGACTAGATCTCCCCTGTGAGGAGGTGTGCGTGCGTGGAAGTGACATGACGACTGAAACGCGCAATTCGGTAGCTTACTTATGAGCGCACACTGAGTGCTTTCACTTCTGTTTGGGGAGTCGTGTGAAAGTTCATCACGAATTATGAGCCGCTCATAAAGTGAGTCCACAAAGCGCGCGCGCGCACACGCTAGTGTGGACGTTTCGTTGTCCACACAATTTTTGTCATCGCCTCCTAGAGTTTGCATGATGTTTGGTTCTTGTTAGTCGTGTGATGTTCCGTTTGTTTGAAAAATGGATGTCTCGTTGTCCACACAATTTTTGTCATCACCTCCTATCGAGTTTGCATGATGTTTGGTTCTTGTTTGTCGCGTGATGTTCCGTTTGTTTGTTTTTTTGTTTGGGCGCGTAGTCCTGCAATTGGGCTTTGGCGCCATCAAGTGGCACTTTGGTGCCAAGCACCTATGTTGAAGTGATTTTACCATGAAGACAAAAGCAGTGCTTTGCTGCCGTCTCAGGTCGTGTTAATGCCAAGGAGCTTTCTTGAAATGTGGCGAGGAGCTTCACTGAGACAAAAGTAGGGCTTTGGTGTTGAAAAGCTTCATTTTAGACTCAATGACTTGCCGCCATCTTATCTTGGCAACTATGTTGATATGAATTGAGAAATGTTTCGCTCTGGCATCATCTTAATACTGCTAACAGCCACTGGGCAACTGTCATCTGTTGCGATGTAGTCAGAAGCATTTTTGGTCTTTTTGTTCATTCCTGACATTTTGCTGACAATTTCTCAACTTTGCAGACAAGTTTTGTTGTTTCCCGCATCCAAAATAATAAATGAAACTCATACAGTACATAATAGCATCTTTATTCCACTGAAATATAAAAGAATATATATTTTTATAGATTTTTTTTTTTTTTTTTAATGATCGCTATCTTGGAGAAAGAGAAGACCAAGTCAAGAAAACAATTTGCAGCCAGTTTTTTTTTGGTGTTGTTTTCTTGTAGTTTGTGTGACAAAGAAAAAAAAAAAAGAAAGTGAAAGAGGAAGGCCACAGTGATGTGTTGCCATAGATTCTGTGCACATACGTCGTAAGAGGAGGAAGCAAACAGCCGTGCATGTTAGCACACACAGACACACACCTTCACTGCCTACATTCCCTCTACCCTGTCGCCAACGTTGACTACTGGCTTTAAAAATAAAAAAAAAAGCGCCAATGCTAACTCGATGCGACCGTACATCGCTTATCATTTTCAAATACTTTTTTTTTTTTTTTTTATGTGTGCGTGAAGGCAAACTAGATGACATCATCGTCAAATACACAAATGTGCTCATGCATTAGCGCGCTCACCGGGAGGCAAATTCGATTTAAAGCTACAATTTGTGGCTTTATGTAGGATGGCCTGTACTGTCGCTCGTGTGACATTCGGGCCTCTTCGGCACATCGCTAAATCGGTGACTTGAGCTTCGGCCATTGTGTCGCTGTGACCTTTGCGCCTGGCTTCGGCAACTTCTCATCCATTTGCACCCTGACCAGTTGAAACCGGTTCAGATCGTGGTGGGGGGGGGTGTCACACATTCACATAGTGCTGCTCACCTGTGTGGCGGGCAGGCAGCCAAGACAGGATAAGAGAACGAAGGAACCATTTTGGACCGCCTTCCGCATCTGGCAGAATTGGGGCTTCTTGGCTGTGTCGTGATCTTTCTGGCATCCATTAAATACTTGAACTGAGAATATGCAGTCCTCTGGTAGTTACTGTGAGTATAATACTGAGAGCATTAAAAATAAAAGGATCAGTGAAAGCCCCTGACCCCTTGTACTTTTCAATTGGTGCCATGACCCGGATTCCAACAACGCAGAATAATAACCACTATATCATCATAGCTGTGGAGTATTATTTTGTCATTCGTCTAATGATGTGCCAAAGAGGTTTAATCTAATTTTGCCCGCTCACTATTTCAATGGTCATTACTTTTGTCAATGGAATGTACAGTCCAGTGAACCCAGTTTTTTGTCGTGAGCGCTAAGCTAACCATCAGATCACGGAAACAAACTTGGGCAAGGCTTGTCCAGTCACATCCAAGTCGAAATTAAGAATAGGTTTTAGTTTAACTTCTGTCACAGCTGAAGTTCACCAGTCAAGGTTTTTCTGTCATTCATTTTAGATTCATCCAAAAAAATGTCACCCAAAATATTGTCCAATTTTTGTGCATAGTGTATCATATGGACAATAGCCAATTGAGATCTCATAATTAAAAGTTGGCTAATTAGCATCGGCAACATATGAATGCTAAATAACGATACAAACATCAGTCCTCCTTTTAACCATGTGCTACCAAGTTCGGAGCTAAAATACGCCACTTGTAAAACTGTCACGCACACGCGCACATACGCACGCACGCAGAGCTAAGAGGCGGGAAGGCCACGGCGTGGACGAGCGATGGCGCCACAGCGGTCCGAACCGACCGACCTGCGGGGGTTCCAATGGGCCTTCGCCATTCATTTCTCGCGAGTACCTCTTGAGTGATGCGTCACCACGGCAACACAGCAGCCACCCGCCAGTACCGGTGAGCCCGGCAGGCGCCAGGAGACAAAATAGCAGGGGGCGGGGGGGTGCTGTGGTTAGAAATGAACAGAACGGAGTGAAATAAACACAAGGCGACGATGCAGGAGAAAAGGGGTGGGGGTCACATTGTTTGAGTCCACGATGCTCGCTGCTGATGGCGATCGTCATGATCATTTGGCACAAACGTTGTTTTGGCCTGGGCTCATTTGGACAAGATCTTCTTGATGTGCTCCACTTCCATCTGTCACGGCAAACACCAAAGACATGAGTTCATCGATTACTGACGACACGTATGATGCGAAATGGTTCCGACATGTTCTTCAAGGTACTTGTGTAGTTTAATTACTATCCACTGAAAAAGCATGTAGCCAAACATTTTGAAGCTATATTGATCCCCCTCAGACGCCACAAGATGGTGCTAAAGCAGTTCCAGTGAGCTCCCACTTATTTGCAGTTCAGCACTTTTGAGAAACTAGCCTTCATTTTTCAATAGAAATATTACTTTGGCACCCCCTGGTGGAATTTTGGTGGTGGTGGGTTTTTTTTTTTTCATCAGCATTTCTCGTAATTTGTCCTGGACTGCGCCTCGTGGCACTATCAAAAGCAAATTAGGATAATATTCAGCGACTATGTGAAGTGTTGAAAAATTTATCTGTTCGGTAAAATTGTTTGACATGAGTTCATAGTGGTGTCTATGCAAAGCTACATGGTGTTGGTGTTTTATGATCCTGTCATGTAAGTGCCATTGTACGCCACTCAAAACAATTACAAATCTTTTTTGGGAGGGGGACGGTTAGTGTATTTATTGTAAACCAGCGTAGTTGCCTACTGTTATACTGCAGTTTTATGGTTTGTCTAAATGTCTTAAGAGTCCCCACTGAAAGGCCCAGGTACCAAATGAACACCGCATCTCACTTGTAAACTGAGTCGTATCCTCTTCTCCTCGTCCAGCGTGCCAGCCAGCTGCTTCATCTCCTGCCTGTGCTGACTCTTCAGCAGCTCCACCGTGCTCCGCAGCTCCCGCATCTGCCTCCTCAGGTCCTCGAGCGTGGGCGCCGCCGCGGGTGCCGACAGCTGCGCCTCCGGAGAGGGGCCGGGACTCGCGGGGGGGCATGACGAGGAGGAAGACGGCGAGGCGGGACGATGGCCGGGGCCGGCGGGCGGGTTCAAAGACGAGGACGACTTGGCGGCCGGCTGGGGTTTACTCTCAGGTACCTGGCGTCACAGTTACGTACAGTTTGGCGACCTCCACTGGTGATGAATGGAAGTACCGATTCACATACTTAAGGGAGCCACTTTTCCATTGCCAATTAAAAATGGGAAGAAGGAATGACACAAGGATTGTGGAGTTTAGTGCTTACTGAAATGACAGGAGCTCCCTTCCTTGCGGAAACCTCCACAGGTCTGGACTGGACCGGTTCTGGGCTCTCCTTGGCTCGCTCTGGTACCAGGTGGTCCACATCGCTGCTGGTCAGTGAGGACTGTGAAGTCAGGAAATCCATCAGTAAATGTCACTTCATGGCGACATGTACATAAAAAATCATAAAGAATCATGATGTTCTCACCGATATGATAATTTGCGAGCGAGGCCGGCGGTCCGTGACTCTTGGCCGCGACGCCGTCGGGTGGCTCAGCTTCTCCGCCGACGGCACCACTGAATCCAGGTCCAGGTCTACACACACATACACACACACACATCAAAAAGACGCAACAACAGCATGCCGATTGTCCCGCTCCATCCTCACCGGCGTTGTGGGACCTGTCAGGAGCGGATTCAGGTGTCGAAGCCCCCCCATCGGATTTGGGGCTTTCACACCTGAACAGCCAAACCACACATAATATAAACGTTAGGGTGGGCTGGGAGGGACACACGAGATGTTCTGCAGAGTGCGTACTGACGCCAGAGCGGGCGGTCTCTCGGGGCGCCTTGGGGGTTGTTGGGAAGTGGAGGAGGAAGTCGACGTCTTTGGAGGGAAAAGTTTCTTGGGGAGGACAGTTGGGAGGGAGGGCTTGAGGATCTCGTCACCTACACGCACACACAAACATGACTATTTGTGTTCCACTGGGGGTGGGGGGGCAGTCCAATTCAGAACAAACGGAAACAGGGGAAACAGGAAGTTCAGGTAGAAGCACAGGAAGAGAATGAATTCAAGTGAAGCTATAGGAAGAAAAGCTCATGACTGTTAATATAAATCAGGTATTGTCATTCGGGCAGTAGGCAGGGCGGGGTGCACCCTGAACTAATTCAGAAAAAAAAAGTGGACAGAAAAAAGGTGTACAGTACAAATAGTTAGCAGTTGAAGCGAGAGCACGCAGGACCAACACGGGTACCTCGATCCTGGTCTCGGTGCGGCAGGTGCTCGGGCCGCTCTGGAGGAACCTTCTTGCCGTCCGACTTTTTCTCTAGTGGTCACAGTTTTGTCTCGCCGTCATTTTCTCGCGCTCTCACACTCCCTCAGGACCATCAACATGGAAACCACAGGAGGAAGGAAGGACATTTTCTTACCTGCTGTCGTGTGCTTGGCCGACGGTGCGCTGGGAGGCGGCGGCTTCTTTGGTCTCTGCAAAAAAGAAAAAAGAAAAAAAAAATTTAGACCATATGGACAAAAGTATTGGGACCGCCATCCAAATCATTGGATCAATCAAGTTGAAAAGTTTGTTAATCACGATAGTGAAACTCCTCTACAACGAAATCATGTTCGTTGTAGTGAATCTCGTTGCGAGGCAAGAGCAGAGAAAAATATTTCGTATAACGGAACAGGGGGATTTTTCGTCGAAGGGGGACCAGAAAAGTGGGAATGGCTTTAATGCATGAACATTTTTTCACACTAGGGGGTATTTTTGCCCATTTAGGTTTCGTTGTAGAGGAGTTTCACTGTATCAGGGCATTTTGGAGCTTATTTGTACGACGGCACCCACTGGTGGTACGCAAAAGAATCGCTGCCTATGTACTTGCGTACTGTCAGTACATTTCCATTCAACTTTTGTGATTACCTCTTTCTCGGCTTCCAGCAGTTTGACAAAATTATCTGGAAAGACGCCTTGCCGACCGCCGACCTCGCCCATCCACCAGCCTGTGTCGGCGCATTCCTGCACAGAAACATGCTTGGTGAGGTCCAATCGAAAAACTGCCAATATGAACGTATATACACACAAACACACCTTGGTGATTATGGCAATGATTTCGCCCTCTTTTATCGTCAGCTCATCTTCGTTCTGCGCTTCGTACGGAAAGAGGACTTTGCACAGCTCTCGGCCTGGAAGCAGATTTCAAAAAAAGCGGCGTCAGATTAAAATCTTCGGGGGGGACGAGCACTTGACGGAAAAACGGCCGGGCGGATGAGCTAAGGTTGACCTTTTCCTCTGCTGTCAGGGTCGCTCTTCATGTTGTCGGGGGCCGGCGAGCTCGCCGTCTTACACTCAGCGACCTGGAAGACAAAAACGGTCACGTTGCTTGAACTGGGGCGGCACCCTGCTTCGATTATTCACTCGGCATCACCAGGAAGGCCTTGGAGCAGCTCTCCCAGGGCTAATTTTTGAGAAGATGAGTTTGGCAAAACCATGAGCTGATTGAATGAGTGGATCCCCGCCGCAGTATTTGCGGAAGCAGGGAGGAGGCATCTTCCACATGGAAAACACTCACAGGGCCGCTTCTGTCCCTAACACACGCGCTGCTCTGTTCGTAGCCAGATCCGTGTCTACCCGCCACTGCTCCTCCCTCCAAAGTCACCCCACCCTCAGTGTCAAGTCATCTGATTGCTAAGAAGAGCCCAGTGGGTGCAGGAGACTCATATTGAGTTTGGGAGTGAGAAGAGTAGCTTCATTTATTTAGTCGCCATTTTCTGAAAAACTCACTTCGTCGCGCTTTTGCCCTCAAGAGGCCCCAAGATGCCATCAAAGCCCGGTCTGATTCGGAAAGTAATTGGTGTTAAAGATGTAAAGTGAATGTGCTCATGTTTTGATCATCTGAACGCAGACTGACGCTGACTCAGTGACAACCTCACCGCAGACCGTCATGTGCAAATGTTGATGTGCTGAGTCGTACGGAGAGATTGAGTAAAAAGGTGCGCACACATCACATTTATCCACACAAACTACAGGCAGCGTGAAAAACACTCGGTCTGTACGTACAAATGTTGATATAAAAGGAAAAGAAACGGATTTGCGAGGTATACAACGACAAAGTATTTGTACGCGGTGACTTCCCACCACTGGCATTTAGCATCTTCTCTCCAACAGAAGTTGCATTTTGCAGAGGGCTGACGTGGCTTTGGGTGACTCAGCAGAAGCACCAGCGCCACCCCCACCCCCCTCAGCCCCCGCTAAATCCCTCTGCCTTCAAAGGACCCAACCCCCCACCCCGCACCCCACTCCCATCCCATCCAACCCTCACCGCACCCTTGCAAGCAGTACCGAGATGTCGGCTGGGTCTGTTGCCTCACGAGACAAGCCCATAAAACCACACACGGCGGGAGGGAGGCTGCTCAACATCCTCTGCTTCAAAGTCTCATGTTCCGCGTGTGAATCTGTAAACCGAGTTTGTTAGGTTTGATTAGATGGGCTTACTCCTCTGATAGGCTAAGTAGCTGAATGGACAAGATAGATGGGCTAACTAGCGAGCAAGCGATCTCTCCAATTGATGGACAAATAGACATTTTGGTGATTAGCTTGCCAAGCTAACACGTTTTAGCAATATTGCAGATAGGTTGCTAGCTTGAGCTAAGTAGCTTACATATATTTTCCTGGATAGACAGATACCCAAGTGACATTCAGACATTCGAATTGGGCTAACTGACTTCTTTCAAAGAATACAGAAATGGCCAAGATTTTGTAAATGAGCTAGCAGACATTTTAATTAGCTTCCTGAGCTAACTAGCGATAAAATAAATAAATCTTTAACGAGACATAAGGTGTTGGGTCAAAGCAGCAATTTTTACAGATGTACACTCGTATTAATAATATTGAATCATCCAAAATGTAACAAAAACAAATTTAAGATAAGCATCAAGTAGGTTAATCTCAACAAGCAAATGCATTAGTATATGAAGTAAGAAATACCAGCGCCCCCTACTGAGGGTAAGTGGTATAATGTGGATGGATGGAAACTACTATGTACACTGTGTAAAACTGTAGATATGCATATGTATTGTATGCATAAAATTGTAGATTGAAAGACATGTTTTCAGAAACAGTACAAATTGAAACGTATAATTTGATTAATGCCAACGTCAGGAAAATGAATTTAGGACTAACCGCTGTTCTATTTTCTGAAACAAAGTTTAGTTAAGAACAATACAGTGCGGTACCTTGCTTTTCTATTGTGTTTTAAGAAAGCCTAGTTGGAATACGGAATGCGTAGAAATCCTAATCAGTCCCTAACGTACAGCACCTCCATCTTTTAAGTCGTTAAAAGCTTGTGTTGGACAGGTTTTAAGCAGCACAAAAGCTTTTTTGGGAGGGAGGAATTCAGAATGTGAAACTGTCAAAACTGCACGTCGGCATCCTTGAAAACACGACACTCATTTAGTCACCTCGCATTAAAAAAAAAAAAAAGAAAAAAAAAGAGGACAAGAATTAAGAACAGTGAAGGGTGGAGGAGGAGAAACTGATTCATCATTGATCCTACCTTCCTGTCGGCTCGCAGACAAAGGCAGGCACTTTGCTACACCCGCGCCAGCAGCAGGAGACTGTGTGACTGTGAGCGGCTGTGAAAAAGAGTTTTCCTTTTTTTTTTCCTCACCTTCCTCTCGCTGCTCTCTCTCCCTCGTCATATCCCTTCAGAGTGTGTGTGTGTGTGTGTGTGTGTGTGTGGGTTTGTGAGCATAAAAACACTTCCTGTGCTGTAAAAGTGATACACAGGAAGAGGAGGAGCCAACACCAGACTTCCTTCACCCAAAACAAAAACTATGAGAGAATCAATTTGACGGTGAGCCTTCTTTTGATGGATATTTTAAGAGTTGCATGTTGTGGCAATTTTTTGTTGAAGTGAGTTGAGGAGCTTGGCTTTCTGCTATTTACAAGCAACCGTGAACCTTTCCCCCGCCCCCACTACGGGGTCACAGTCACTCTTTAAGTGGGTACTCAACCTCTGGAAATGCGGGTGTACAAGAAGGGGCAGCTCGACAAATACAGTTTGGGAGTTGATTCACCTTGTCGCCCTCAGCGTCGACGTCCATGGAGCGAGGGCGGAGCTTGATGGGCTGGTCTTTGAAGATGTCGCCAAAGCCGAAGCCCCTCACCTACATTGGAGACACAAAAACGCGTCACCTTCAGCTTTTGCACTGCAGCTACTGGGGATGTCTTTCAAAAACTTGTCACATTTTTGAGCCTGTCACTTTTTGGGAGCGGTGAATCTATGAGTGGCGAAATGCGGGTGTACAAGAAGGGGCAGCTCGACAAATACAGTTTGGGAGTTGATTCACCTTGTCGCCCTCAGCGTCGACGTCCATGGAGCGAGGGCGGAGCTTGATGGGCTGGTCTTTGAAGATGTCGCCAAAGCCGAAGCCCCTCACCTACATTGGAGACACAAAAACGCGTCACCTTCAGCTTTTGCACTGCAGCTACTGGGGATGTCTTTCAAAAATGTGTCACATTTTTGAGCCTGTCACTTTTTGGGATCTGTGAATCTATGAGTGGGAACTGCGTATACACATGGGGACACGGATTACCTTTTTGGGCTGGATTTCAACAGAGCCCCCTTCGGACCGAGTGTCGGCTCCATCGCTCTCACTCCCTGGACTGTTCTTACCTGCACACGTATACACAAACCCCCGCCCCAAAAAAACTCAAACTTCCAAATGGGTTGACATCCGCGCCGTCTCGATTGGCTGAGTCTTACTGTTGCGGGCACTGTGCGGCTCCTCCTGCGAGGCGGGAGTGTCGGCGGAGTTCCCGTCGGCCTCAAGCAGGATCTCTTTGGTGAAATTGGAGGGGAACATCCCACTTTTGCCATTCAAGACACCCTCCCACCAGCCCTCCTCCACCTGCACACAGCACAAATAGCAAGCGCAGACTTTAAAATACTCATATGAGGCAATTGGTGCCCTCTAGTGGACACATTTCATCAAAACATTTTTCTGAGGTTAAACGTCACACATAGGTTCTCAAATGTTTGGTTTCTTACAGGGACGATTTTTTCCCAAGGGTCCATTTTAACCTTAACGCCAGTTAAAAATAACTACAGTGTGTTCCGCTAAATGTCTGGGAGTTAAATTGTTGCTTATTTTCAGCACAAAAAGTTTTAATGTTACATTAACAAATTCCCTTTTTTTTTGAGAAAATGTGTAATGTCAAAAGAATAATGTTTGTTTTCCCCACAAGAACAAAGACCACAAAAATAAAAGAAAATTTGGCATTTTCAAATATTTTTTTATCCTTTCCTTTTTTATTGGCTGGGAGGAAAAAAAAAACAGATTTGTGTTCAGACCAATACTTGTATTGCCTTGGCGCCATGTAGCAACTTGGCTGCCAAGGAACGATGTTGAAATGAGTTGAGGATCTTAATTTGGATTAAAGTAATGCTTTGCCGCCATCTTGTGGCATATATGGCCAATTATAAACCGTTTTAAGACTTGCATATTTTCGCAAGGGGGTCATTGTAATCAGCTTGAATAGAACGCACCATTCGTTCTCCACGCCAACTTTTTTCTTACCTCGGCTACGATTTCGATGACGTCGCCTATTTTCAGCTCCAGCTCGTCTTCGTGCTGAGGCGCATAGCTGAAGGCCGCTTTGCACCGCCGCTTACGAATCTGTTCCGCTGCAATGGACATTGCGACACACGTTAAGGACGCGATCCCCCTTTGGCTCGAGATGCCCGGGAGACCGTTTGCGGTTTAACCCGATGACATCGACTCCAAAGCGATTCGCTCATAAAGCTTAGAGACATGTCAGTGCAACAGGTGGCAAACGTGCTCACATTCGGTACGAGTAGTCAAGTACAGACTCGCCGTTAGGTAAGTAAAAACCAATGTTGACAGTAACTAAATAATTATTTTAAATAAAGCCATGGAACTTTGGAAGCATACAATTGGCCACCATATCTTTGGATAACAGAAACATTTTTTTTGCTATGGCCTGCTGTTCTCTTTTCGTCCACAAGGTGACATCCTTCTAATGACAAAAGTGCTAGACGTCATATGGATTTGACATCTTTTCACAAGTGGGGTTATTCTGGTAGTACCCTTCTTGGCCGGTCTGGTGCTGGGCTCGGACACGGGACTCGTCCGGCCGTTGGACAGGTCCACTTTGTCCGCCGCGCTGGCCTGTCCTCCATCTCGCTTGCCCTCCTTCTTGATCTCCTGCAAGGAAGAAGAGACAATCATGCTTTCGTTAGATAATGATGCAATACCGTCTGCAGTATTCAGGCACATCACATCCTCAATATTGAGACTTTGATGTGATTGTTGGCCTGATGATTAAAAAGGCGTTTTAGTCAGATTAGATTTTGACATTCACTTGTTATATGACTGATTGACTTTTTTTTTTCTCGACACTGTACAATTTCGATTCAGAAGATGACTAATCTTGCAAATGTACACCTTAATTCTGAAAAATTTGCAACTTTTTTTTGGGGACTATACTGTCATCAAACTGGAAAATATGCTAATTTACCACCCCCCCAGAAAAAAAAAATCAACAGAATTTTTTTCCCCCTGAGATTGTGACTTTAAGACAGAAAATATGCAACTTTTTTCTCGTAATAATACAACTTGAATCTAAAAAAAAAAATTAGATATGTTTCAAAACACACTTGTGCAAAAAAAAAGTTCCCTTTTAATTTTCTTGTAGTAACAAAAATTTTCTGAAATGATATGACTTATTCTCAGAATATATTTCAACTCAAAAAAATACTTGAATTTCAAAATGGTTGACTTCTATCTTAAAATGTAAGACATTTTCTTAAAAAATAAAATAAAATAAATAAAAACATCCCTTTCTCTTAAAAATAGACAACTTTTTTTTCTCAGAAAAACTGAACTTTCACTTTGCACTGTACAATTTCGATTCAGAAGATGACTAATCTTACAAATGTACATCCTAATTCTGAAAAATTTGCAACTCTTTTTTTTTGGACTTTCCTGTCATCAAACTGGAAAATATGCTAATCCCCCCCCCAGAAAAAAAAATCAACGTAGGTATTTTTTTTCTCTCTTTTTCCTGTTGTGGCCCTCAAATATGCCTTACTGCAAAACGGCCTTTGAAGACTAAAATACCACCAGTAAAAACCCAACGTGACTTTAAGACAGAAAATATGCAACTTTTTTCTCGTAATAATACAACTAGAATCCAAAGAAAAAATTAGATATGTTTCAAAACAAAAAACACACTTGTGCAAAAAAAAAAGTTCCCTTTTATTTTCTTGTAGTAACAAAAATTTTCTGAAATGATATGACTTATTCTCATAATATATTTCAACTTAAAAAATACTTAAATTTCAAAATGGTTGACTTCTATCTTAAAATGTCAGAATTTTCTTTAAAAAATTAATAAATAAAAACATCCCTTTCTCTTGAAAATAGACAACTTTTTTTTTTCTCAGAAAAATTGAACTTTCACTTTGTCGGTATTTTTATTCTCTCTTTTTCCTGTTGTGGCCCTAAAACATGCCTTACTGCAAAACGGGCTTTGAAGACTATAATACCACAGTAAAAACCCAACTATACCGTCGTTTTCAAACTATATTTTCGAGCATTAAAATTCATGCGTTTGCCTGTGCACAGATGCAAACGGGCAACGAAACGACAGTGTTGCCTTGCTATCCACGGCAAAGGCAAAGAAAGGAGGCCGGGACAACAAATATGGCGCAAAGGGAGCAAGGGAAGCGGGACAAGAGAAAGTGAACATGACGGCTCACATGTCCGCTGCCACAACCATGGCGACGCTGTTTCATAAGCAACTAGGCCTGTGGCCAAGACGGCCTAGTCAAGCAGACAAGCCGGTTGAACTGACACACACACACACACACACACACACACACACACACACACACACACACACACACACACACACACACACACGGCATAGAAGCCTTAATGAGCCACAAGGTCCAAAAATACCAGTTTCCAAGACAACAGTGACCCCGCTTCGTCTTGGTCAAAGGAACACAAACATGGACAAAATGTCAGCACCCGCACTAAAGATTCAAAAAATGGGGAGGGAAAAAAAAAATGAATAGTGATCTACGTGATATGAAACATCAGTTGTTGTAGCTCTCATCTAATTCCCCATTGAAATGAATGAAAATGACGTTAATCCATTCCAGTCCTCCATTTTTTGGTCAAGTTTGTTCATAAGAAAGGAAAATAGCACTGTATAGCTTGCACTGTATTTATAAAATAAAATTTAAAAAAAAAAGACTATGATGCCATTAAAAGCAGGGAGGCGGGAGAACTTGGGAGTCCTGAACAAAATGCATTAACATACACACACACACACACACACACACACACACAAAAAAAAAAACACTTGCAGGGGGGTACAATGGGGAAAAAAAAAACTAAATCCAAAACATAAACAACATCCTGAAAAAACAAAGTCAAAAATAAATCAAAAAGACTAACAGAACCCAGGGAACTAAAAAAAAACAAGCAAACTGACGAGATGACAAGGAATACCTGGACATGACCCAATGGGTTGAGAGAGCTGATTGGTTGACACAGGGCCCGGGTGAACAGAAAAGGTTTTTTTTTTTTTTTTTTTTTTTAAACGAGGAAGACAAAAGCACATGAGGGAAACAAAACGCGCCCATTCAACATCACAGATACTACAGTGTTCAACGTGAGGATGGCGACCCCAAATAATACCGGTACCTCACTTGCATATATTTTGGTGTGAAATGAATGATTGGTTAATATATAAATGCATTTTTTTAAAAATTAAAAATTGGTTGTGACTTTGTGGATTTTGTCTATGCCGGGGCGATTACTGTAACACCACTGCTATTTGAATAAATTCATGCTTCTGATGATTGATTTCTTGCAAATACTAGAAAGAGTTAAATCATTAAATCATTTAGATGCAAAAGCACTCAAAACAAATCAATAATAGAATACTAGAACATAAGGACACTCTCGTACTCTGAGCTGAGTTCCGTGTTCGCCGCGTTTCGACAAAGTCAACACAAGCGGCAGCCGAGCGGGAAAGTCAACCATCGATTGACTCCGCATGCCTGCACATTCACACAAACACACAGACCACATGCGGGCCCACGCAAAATCCGTAGCAGCCATTTACGGGCCTCTGGCTTCCTCTTCCTTTACGAGGGCTGAGGGACACGTGGTATTTACGTTCAAGTGGAATGGGAAGGTACACAATACATGTGTTAGACATTAGAACTTCCAAAAGATCCCACTTTTTTTTTAACTCTTGTCTGTGGGTTCAGCGGCCCCCTGGGGGAGAAATCGTGAGGCTGTGGCGACTTAAAGGAAGGGCAGATGAAATGAGGAAGACAGCATGATTCGTCATATCTGAACAGGAAACATCTGCGTGTATTGTGTCGTGTTGCGTTTTTTTTTCTTTTTTTTAACTGACTTGAAGATCTGAAATTCAGTTGATCCATTCCAGCACCCCCAAAAAACAAAGAAAACTAGCGCCTTGACACCTTGATTTATGTGATTGCTTGATGAGTGGGTGTTAGCATGCTAATATTTAAAGTGGCTCTTGCATTCTTCCTTTTTTGTGTGTGTGTGCAGCCCTCGGGGGGAAAAAGGTTCGGCACAGCCCTGGTTTAAGTGAAGCGCTCACACTGAGTCGCATCATGTGAGTTTGATTTGCCGGCACATGATCAGTCAGCACATGCTAGCATCCGCAGACTTGTTGCCTCGCGAACTAGCCTTGACTGCATTAAATGGAACGGAAATCTGCAATCTTTCACTCAGTCGTGAACTAAATTTGTTGCCAGTTTAGGGATTAATGGAGACACTGAACTTCCAAAATGGACACTGACGATTGTACATTGTAGCATAGTCTAATCTCTTCACTGTTGTCCCATGAAATGACATGATAAAAGATTTACAATAAAATGAGGTATGTACGCATTTCTGTGGGATCTTGAAAAATTAAAACTACAGCAATATGAACTGTATACATGGACGCACTGACTCAGGTCCATGAACAAGTAGACAGTGGCAGCGAGTTTGCTTATAAGCTAACGACTTTGAGCTAACTATAACAGATTATGGCGATGAAACGTGAAGAACTGACAACTAGCTTGTTAGCTATTCAAGCTAGACCTAGCTCAATTACTCGAGGTGATAGGTGGGATCACTCGCTCGGACTGGGTATGGTTAATGGACAAATAGACTCATTGGTAACTGGCTCGCTAACCTATCACGCTTAAGCGGAAGAACTGATGACTTGCTAGCTAGCTTACTGAGCTAGAGCCACATCTGAGCTGACAAACTTGACAAGCAGTCTCTTTAGGGAAAAAAAACCTGCAAAGTCAACGTAACATTAAAGGATGCAAATGCTGGGTGATGCAAATTCAAAAACGGGGCAGGCTGTATGTGGCGAGTATGCGGCTTTTCTCTAACATATCAAATATTGGACGATTATCAACATCACTCTCATAACATATTGTATCATACACTGTTGTTCTTGCGTTGCATGACTTCCTGTGTCTTTTGCAATCCCACTGTGGACATTCTCCCTTTCTCCCGCTAGAGCCACATCTGAGCTAACAAACTTGACAAGCAGTCTCTTTAGGGAAAAAAAACCTGCAAAATCAACGTAACATTAAAGGACTCTGAGTAATGTAAATGCTGGGTGATGCAAATTCAAGAATGGGGGGCAGCGAGTTTGCTTATAAGCTAACGACTTTGAGCTAACTATAACAGATTATGGCGATGAAACGTGAAGAACTGACAACTAGCTTGTTAGCTATTCAAGCTAGACCTAGCTCAATTACTCGAGGTGATAGGTGGGATCACTCGCTCGGACTGGGTATGGTTAATGGACAAATAGACTCATTGGTAACTGGCTCGCTAACCTATCACGCTTAAGCGGAAGAACTGATGACTTGCTAGCTAGCTTACTGAGCTAGAGCCACATCTGAGCTAACAAACTTGACAAGCAGTCTCTTTAGGGAAAAAAAACCTGCAAAGTCAACGTAACATTAAAGGATGCAAATGCTGGGTGATGCAAATTCAAAAACGGGGCAGGCTGTATGTGGCGAGTATGCGGCTTTTCTCTAACATATCAAATATTGGACGATTATCAACATCACTCTCATAACATATTGTATCATACACTGTTGTTCTTGCGTTGCATGACTTCCTGTGTCTTTTGCAATCCCACTGTGGACATTCTCCCTTTCTCCCGAAGCGCACACATTCAACGGCCGAATGCCACACATTCCCATTAAGTGCAGTCTTGTGACACACCAGTGTGGTATTACTGAGTCCCCACATGCGCACATACACACACACACACGGCCATTGTCCTGCTGGATGACAGTGAATGAGTGCTGTGAGAGCGGCTCAGCACTAATAAAGCGCATGACAAGGCCTAAACGCTGTCGAAATGCATTATTGTGTCATTGTTCACTTCCTGCCAAATCACACACACGCACAGTCAGATCTTCATAACGGTCAGGTGGAGTTGACAAAAGTACCGGAACTTAAATATGAAAGTCAAAATGGATTTTTGCTACCAATTATATATGCTAGCATTTTTGTTATCCTTACAGGTAAAAAAAAAAAAACAGTGCCTAAAAAAGTATTTGTATTTGTTTACTTCCCATTTGTGTGCTACCATCAGCTAGCTTACTCACCCGCACAAAGTTGTCGGGGAACAAGCCCCGGCGTCCCGCCAGCTCGCCCTCCCACCATCCTCCGTCGTCTCGCCGTATGTTCACGATGACGTCGCCCACGCTCAGGCTCAACTCGTCGTCCTGCTGGGCCTCATAGTCGAACTCCACCACGGCCTCCACTAAAGGCGGAAAAGAAAGCGGGTGCGAGTCAAGAGTGTGAGCGCGTTGGCGTGTCGAAGTAAAAGGTCAAACATTTGTAGAGAGCTGTATCACATTCTTCGGCTTTTGACTCTCCGCTGCTCTTTGAGAGATGTAAAGCGAACCATAATCATCAACATAAAACTTCAAGGCTTTTTTTTTTATGCGCCTGCAGCACTGCCACTAAATGAGCCCAGTTTAGAAGTCGCATGAATAAAAATGAGACCAGAAGAGAGTTTCTGTCTTATATGAAAGGACTGGTTCTTGACGAGACGGCTCACGCTGGTCATTGATTGGATTATTGATGACCTTTGACCTCAATCTAGTTTGCATCTCAATTTAGGCGGTGGCGATGTCGTGTGAGATGAATATTATTCACATTGACAGGGTTCTTTGCTGCAATGTGCCAAGACCCTTTGATACCAATGAATCGGCGCCTGGTGAGAACTGATGCTAATGTAGCTAACGTTTAAAAGGCGCGATAAAGAGACAAAGAGGCGGTGATAACAAGCGCCTGCAGACCAAACAAAACTCCCACTCGGCCTGCGAAGCGTCACACTTTACACTCGGCAAGGGGTGGGGGGGAGCACCGCAGTGTCCCGCGAACAGCTGCGCCCTACCCGGGTTCTAACTCACACAGACAAGACATGCTGCATGCTGACGTGTGCGCTTGGCGACAGCGCTTGCGTGTTCCCGCCGTTCTCCGTCTGCGTTGTATGCGTGTGAGAGTGAGCTATTGCACGACAAGAAATGCTTTTCGCTTGCTCCCACACAACATTTTACGTAGGCACAGTCAAGACATGCAAGTCATACCCTTTCACACGATTAACACTTTGTGTCTTACACTCATGCCGCTGTCGATAGCACCGACAAGGGGTCCAAAAGAACCTGTCATAACCCAGCGTCGTGTCAGATTATATCCAATAGTTCAGCGGTAATACTTTTCGAGATCAAAATGGTGTCAGTTTTTTTTTCCTCTAATTTTCAAGGACATCCTCCAACCAACAGTTCAAAATCAACTTGTAATATGTTGACCATTTTGTCACTGCGTTTTATAGGCCAAGCGGAAGTTAGCATGCCACCTGACATCTGACGCAAAAGTGCAGTGTGCGCAGTCCGTTCACAACACAGCCCAAAAAAGTTTGGAATTGCCTATGGATACACAAGATGGTGACAAAGCAGTTTTCTTGATTAGACATGGCTTTGGACTAAGCCACGAAAACAGAATAACGGAGGATAGGTGAATTCGCAAATCCCCAATAAGTGATGGTTGCCTGTACACACTTTTATCTGTTTTTCAGCTCAGTGTTCAGCCGCGAAGCTAACCACCTAGCTCGGCTTTGTTTGTTTGTGTTAAACACATCACAAGGAGCAACATGTTATCTCTTTCATGTTTTGAAAAAAAAAAAAAAAGGAAACTGAAAATATCAGAGGCCTCTGCTGCCAGTCCACGCATGTCCTATCGATTGAATAATTGGCAATTTAACGATTGATGACTCGGCCATCAGCCCCCTCTATGCACCCTGGGGGACGCGCTTAATGTGGAATGTCACAGTCAGCACACACACACACACACACACACACACACACACACAAACGAAAGAAGGGATAGTGAGAGTGAATGCAAACGTGTCAACATCTGCAACTCATCATCTCATGAAACCCCTCAGCACATCCACGATCGAGCATGGCGAGATAGGACAAGATCACATCACAGGGAGCAAGTTTTTATCTTTTTTATGTTTAAAAAAAAAAAAAAAAAGGAAACTGAAAATATCAGAGGCCTCTGCTGCCAGTCCACGCATGTCCTATCGATTGAATAATTGGCAATTTAACGATTGATGACTCGGCCATCAGCCCCCTCTATGCACCCTGGGGGACGCGCTTAATGTGGAATGTCACAGTCAGCACACACACACACACACACACACACACACACACACAAACGAAAGAAGGGATAGTGAGAGTGAATGCAAACGTGTCAACATCTGCAACTCATCATCTCATGAAACCCCTCAGCACATCCACGATCGAGCATGGCGAGATAGGACAAGATAGTACACACACATGCACACATTTGGGCACCCATGACAGGGGATGGGGTGGGTGGGGGGATTGGGAGCACCCAGCCCATGGACCTGGGCTTTCCGCTCCTGCTCATCCAGATGCACTGGGGAGATAATCTAGAAGACAGCGGGAGAGGAGGAAGGAAGGAAGGAGGGAGGACACAGGGGAGAGGGGAGGACTCCCAAAATGGGGGGGAATGGTGCACCTCACCCATTTATGTCTCCTCGGTGCTCCTCGGGCTTGGTTCGGTACCGTACCAGGCGGTCGTTTCAGGTATCCAACGGCTTTGTAGAGCGCCGAGCCACGCAGCCTCCTCCTCCTCCGCGCTACTAGAGATCCGCTAGAGCGGGTGGAGCGTCACATGAAACCATATTCCTTCCTCTTTTTTTTTTCCTTCTCCCCCCCACCCCACCCCCGAACACCGACGCACCACAGAAGAGTCAGAGAGCGTGTGGCCGTTTTAAAACGGGAAGCAAGCTGGCTCTTCTGGTGCCTTCGTGTACCCTCGGAACAAAAACAAGCCCCTCTCCCAAAATTGCGCTCTGTGACGCAAGAGGCTGTAAAATGACTTTATATCACAACAAGCGTTTCACGCAACTTTTAACGTGATGTTTGAGTTGATATTTTTCAAGAGTTTTGTATTTATCATGTAGCCAAATGAGCTAAATAAGGTAACTGAAATATTCGGAACAGCTCCCATTATGATGTAGTACTGTACTGCAAACTATAGTACAGTCTTCCTCAATATTACAAAGCTTTATTGTTGAATGAATATCTCTCTGGCGGTGTCAATCCAACGAGTGACTTTATATGGATCTCATTAAGTTGTGCAAGTGTTTCTAAGGCGGCGGAAATCAAGATATTGGTATGAGCTACGATCCACATGTCGCTGTAAGGCGATTGTCGGAATCACTTGGGCTCATTAAGGATGGCAGTATCTCCGATTCCCATTGAAAGCAGCAGTGGGGTGACGACCAAACCTCGCAACTGTCCTTAATTCTCGCGATGAATACATTTTGTCAGTTTGAAGGACTCATGCTGCTGGACAGTACTGTATATTCATTGTGACATGAAGATTACATTTTTGTTCATTCATTATTCATTTTCCACTCCTTATGTAACGTGCCTTGAAACAACTTGTGTTGGGCATCCGCATCTTATAACTGGACAGCCTTTTGTGACTGTTTGGCTTGTGATTAAACTAAATAATAATACTGTAATAATAATATTATTAATATTATTATTATTTAGTTTATGTTAACAGTTTTGTAAAGCGCTTTGTGACAGATACAGCAGTTGTGAAAGCGCTATATAACCCAGGATGTATTGTATGATGATGATGATGATGATGACGATAAGAAAATTCAAATATAGAAATGTATACACCTTCACAAAGTTCTTAAGTACCAATCAGGATATAGCATAAACCAAGTTAAATTATATTTTAAAGTTTGCAATAATTATATATTTTCATAGCTTTTCGTTTCGGGCCGAACGAGCTGAGGTATGTCGTCAGAATATAATCATGACGTACACGGAAGTACTGGCACGGCCTCTGTAAGTAAGGGCAGGACAAGAGGACACATTTCGACGAGGGTTCCTTGGTGGCGGTAGAGCGAAAGCTTTGCTCAAGGTGAGAGAAAACGAATTGAAATATGCATATTTCTAATCTGTTAATGTATTTTAATACCTTATACGGTAGTGCAGCCTTTGGGACACATTTCGACGAGGGTTCCTTGGTGGCGGTAGAGCGAAAGCTTTGCTCAAGGTGAGAGAAAACGAATTGAAATATGCATATTTCTAATCTATTAATGTATTTTAAAACCTTATACGGTAGTGCAGTCTTTATTATGCGCAAGCTCCAATTTCATTTAAATTCATTCATTTTTGCTGCTTGTGAACACTTTCTTCTACTAACGCCACACGACATCTCTTCCCTCAATAATTAAAAATTTTACACCTTTTCGAAACGTGCGTGTTGTGTATGAATACAAAGTACTTGCTTTAGACATAAAGAGGATTTGGTGTTGGATCCAGAAGGTGTTGGCGCGAATGTCACTTCCGTGAAACGTGCGTGGCCTTGTGCGAAAAAATAATTAAAAATTTTACACCTTTTCGAAACGTGCGTGTTGTGTATGAATATAAAGTACTTGTTTTAGACATAAAGAGGATTTGGTGTTGGATCCATAAGGTGTTGGCGCGAATGTCACTTCCGTGAAGCGTGGCCATGCGCGAGGCCAGGGTGATGAAACAATTTCCTTATTTAACGCTCACCTAATGTTGTAAGCGCTCCCTCCTCATCGTCAAATGCCATCAATTTGAACGCCTCAATCTTTGCGCGGAAATGTACAAATCGTGTTCGCGTCCCAAAAGATGAACTGATTTCCTTATTTAACGCTCACCTAATGTTGTAAGCGCTTCCTCCTCATAGTCAAATGCCATCAATTTGAACGCCTCGATCTTTATGTACAAATCGTGTTCGCGTCCCAAAAGATGAGCTGGAGTTCAACGAGTGCAATGGTTTGCAAATGCAGCACTAACATTTAACGTGTGACACTTTACATAGTGTCTGGCGAAAAACCAGCTGTGTGGCTGCGACGATTGCCTGACCGATTGAGAAATTACATCCGCACACCAAACGGTTAGAATGGCGAATATGTCTTTGAAGCCATGGCACATTCTTTTGGGAAATGTTGCACTTTAATCACATTAAAGGCCCACGTTTCTTTATGAGGTCTGGAACGGTTTGGAAAAGGCGAAGGTTCAACGAGTGCAATGGTTTGCAAATGCAGCACTAGCATTTAACGTGTGACACTTCACATCGTGTCTGACGAAAAACCAGCTGTTTGGCTGCGACGATTGCCTTGACTGACTGAGAAGTTACATCCTCACACCAAACGTTTAAAATGGCTAATATGTCTTTGAAGCCATGGCACATCCTTTTGGGAAATGTTGCACTTTAATCACATTAACGGCCCACATTTCTTTATGACGTCTGGAACGGTTTGGAAAAGGCGAATCACTTCCAAGAACCAATTGTGACGGCAAAGTGACAAGCCGCCCCCATGCGCGTGGCGCGGTAGGGGAAACCGGTTTCGATTTTTTTTTTTTTTTTTGCACCGGCTTTTGCGTAGTACTGAGAGTAAGGAAGTGCAGCGTAAAAAGGCGTTAGGTCGTTAATTGTTTAGAATGCAAACACTGCTGCCAAGACTAAGTCTGCAAGGAAGCAACTTAAGGTTAAATCTTCACGTTGACGTCAAAATAAGTGGCTGAGAGGGAGCAGAGGAGGCGAGAAAGTGTGTATTTGTAAGAATATTAAGTGTCAAAGGATTTTCACAAGTGGTTTGTGGTTGTCCGTTTCAGAATCAAAATGGATCGAGTGAAGTCTACGTTTAATAACATGGTAAGTGTTTTGTCACTTCAACATTTTCTTGACTTGTGGCCATTATTGCAAACCTTGCTGTCGTAGGGAAGAGACGTTCAAACGGGCAGTTATTTTTCCGCTGAATGAATTGTTTGAATAAAAAGATAGGCTATTTTGCCCCATAAACTACTTGTGCCATCTGTTAATGTTTTAAAACTGGAAATGTGACTCTTGAACACAGACGTTTACCAACCCCCAAACTGCATTCTTGCCGGAAGCATTTTTTTCTTCCATTAACAGAAAGGAACATTTATGTAAGTAACCAGTAGCGCCAGTCACCAAAGTTTCCGGATCCCATTGTCGCCAATGTTTTTTTTTTTTTTT